CAAAAAAACAAAAAAAGACAATTATTAACTCCAGGAAAAACAAAGACTTGTGTAGGAGACGAAAGTAATCACGGTTTACTACCTGTGGCAGCTGTGGGAGCATTTACACAGACATAACCTATAAACACTGCATATTTATCTAGCCGGAATCACAATGTGGGAGGTTGGAATAATTTAACTAAGAGTATGAGGATGCGTCTTCCATAGTGAGAAGTGAATGGAAAATGCCCAAGTTGAAAAAATCGAGAGGTAGCCATACAAACATGGTATTTAGAGACAGGGACATAGATAATCAAATGACACAATAAATGAAGTGAAAACAGACCCCTCTGGGGTGGGAGAAACGGAGGGTAGGCACATGGGAGACTGCTGGTTTTCATTTTTTTTAAAATGTTGTATTTGACTCTCCAAATAATGTGGATGTATAACTCTGATAAAAAGAGAACTAAAGATTAGTCGGGGGGTGGGGACCTGTAAAAAGGAATACTGGGGAGAAATAGAATTTAGCGGAAGCAGGAAATCATAGCCAGAGGTGACAGAAACACAGAGGTATCGCGTGTCAATCTAGAAGTTTCTGGGGAAGGCACAGGGTGCTTCGAGATTTCTCACAGCCCAAGGGGCAATGTATTACAGAGGTTGACAGGTTGGGCTCAGAATCAGATGGCCAGGGTTCAAATCCCAGCGCTGCCACTCAACAGCCATGGGATTTTGTGGGGCCTTAGTTTCCCCATCTAGAAAATGAAAATAAAAGTATTCGCCTATGATATGTTATGGGTTGAGCTGTGTCCCCCCTACATTCACATCTTGAAGTCCTACCCCAGTGCCTCAGAACGTGACAGGGTCTTTACAGAGGAACTCGAGTTGAAATGAGGTTATTAGGGTGGGCCCTAATCCCATAGGATGGTGTCCATGTGACGAGGGGAAATGTGGACAGAGAGGCACATCGATGGGAGACCGTGTGAAGACACTGAGAGAGACGGCCATCTGCAAGCCAAGGAGACAGGCCTGGAAGAGATTCTCCCTCGCGGCCCTCAGAAGGAACGAGGAGGACTTCGAGTCTCCGAAACTGTGAGACGATACATTTCTGTTACAGTGGCCCTAAGAATAATGAACGTAAGTGAGTGTCGATATATCATAAACACTAGAGTAAATTTAAAAGGTTCGGGAATGATACCAAGCCTTGGCAAGGCTACGGAACGAACGGAACTTTCCCGCACGGCTGATGAGAGCAAATTGGTACGACTATCTTGGAAGATGTCTGGCAGTATCTTTTGAAGCTAAAGCATCCACCTCCCCATGACCCAGCAGTCCTACCCGTGGGAATTTGCCCAAGAGAAACGAACGTATCCTCTGAAGACTTGTACAAGAATGTTCATTGTAGAATATTCATAATGGCCAAACACTGGGAAAAACCCAAATGTCCACCAACAGTTAGAATGGAAGAATTCCCACATATTCATATAATGGTATCCTCAGTGGGATACAGCTACGAACAAGCAACCTGGCAGTAAAATGGGGCAGAACAAGCCAGACACAAAAGCTGCTAAATACACTGTTTGACTCTGGTTATGTCATATTCAAAACCGGGCTAACTCAATTAACAGCGATCCTCTACGGTGAGTGGAGGGGGAGCGGGGAGCCTTCTGGGGAGTTGGCCATTTTCGGTACCTTGATCTGGGCGTGGTCGCGTGAATGTTTTACATGTAATTGATGAGCTCCACAGTTTGTGCTCGTGAAGTAGGGGTGGGTGGGCAGAGCCTGGGAGAGCCGCCCTGCTTTGGAGAAGATAGGGAGAGGATCTGGAAATCCCAGAGGCCTTCCCGGAAGAAGGGGCAGAGAGGGGAGAGATGACTCAGCTGGCTGGCTGGGGTGAAACTCTGGGGGTGAGTCAGGAAGAGAAAAAGTCCCCGGAGGGTGGCGGGGAAGGTGGCCAGAGGTCTTTTGTTTCACGTGCAAAACGTTCACTGTGAAACTTTTTGCGTTTAGATGAATGTGTGCCTGAGCTGCCCTATACGGCGGCTACCTGCCACTGTCGCTATTTCAAATATGGGTCTGACCCGAGGTGTGCAGTGCGTATAATGTGCATTTCGGATTTCAAAGATTCGCGTGGGAAAATAATATGTAAAAGGTTTCAACCATTTTTTTTTTTTTTACTGATTACATGTTATAATAATATTGGGGATATACTGGGTTAAGTAAAATATATGATTGAGTCTAATTTCATCTGTTTCTTTTTTTTTATGTCTTTGCGTGTGGCTACTAGCACATTTAGAATTACACAGTAGTTTGTACTGGATTTTACTGGACGGTGCTGGCAGCCGGCACCTATCACGTTTCAGTCTGCAGTCCGGCACACACAGTGGGGGCTTTCATGGGGATTAAGTGAGGAGTGGATTCCAATTCTGGATAAAAGCCTCTGGAGCTGGGGAGACACACTTGGGCCAGTGAGATGGTCCAGAAAGTTAACTAAATCTGGCAAAGATGACCCTGAAGCCAGGGTGACCGTGTGAAGCCCAGGAATTTGCAGAATTCTTAGGAAGGAAGGTTAGGGCCAATGTTTTCTAGATCCTAAGGATCTAGAGCAGAGGTCCCCAACCCCCGGGCTGTGGACAGGTACCGGTCTGTGGCCTGTTAGGAACTGGGCCGCACAGCAGGAGGTGAGCAGCGGGTGAGCAAAGCTTCGTCTGTATCTGCAGCCGCTCCCCAGCGCCAGCATCACCGCCTCAGATCATCGGGCATTAGATTCTCATGGGAGCACCGGTCCCTGGTGCCACAAAGGTTGGGGACCGCTGCACTGGAGGACACCTGGGGGTTGGGGCAAGCAAAGGAAGGGAGGAAAATGTGGAAGAAGAGGAAGAAATACCGGTAAGAAAAAGAGGAGGAGGAAAAGAAAAAGGAAGAAGAAGATAGAGGAAGAAAAGAGAAAATAATCAAAGAGGTAAAAAGACAATTCTAGGTCTACGCGGTCCAGAATGACGGCCACTAGCCAGATGTGGCTTCTGAGCCCTCGAAATGTGGCAGGTTGGAATGGAGATGTACACTGAGTAGAGCACGCACTCAAAGCTCAAAACAGAAAGAAAGGGGAAATACGTCATTACTTTTTATATTACATATCGAAATGGTCATATATTAGAGATGTTGGAGCGAATGAAACAGATCATTAAAATTAGTATCACCTGTTTCATTAAAATGGATCCTGTAAAATTCTAAATTAAGTCTGTGGTTCCCCAGCCCCACTCTAGAAAAAAACGCCTGAGGAAATGCATTGAACCATTAGCAGTGAGTGGGTAAGGGGGGGGGATCTATTTTCACCTCATTATTTTTAACGAGCAAACGTTAAGCAAATATGACCTTCGAAGAGGGGAAAGGGATTTGTGAAGGGGAAACTTAGCTCGAGAGGGTTGGAAACCCAAGGGGAAGGGTGCCAGGCACAGAGGAAGGTGGGGTACTCCAGCCGGGGGAGCCCTGGGAAGGGGCCGAGGGGTCCGCCAGGCTTCCCAGCAGAAACAAAGGCAGGAGGCCGGTGGTGGAAGGGTGTTCTGGAACCCAAGTGAGGCTTTTCTTGACCACAGGCTCCCTAGCATCATTTAAAAAAAAAAATTTCATTGCATTTTGTTATGCATTTATTAAAGAAAATCATTTATAGTTTATTAAAAAAAAATGTCCTAATATACACGAAAATTCCCTAGCATCTTCGAGAACCTGCGCAGAGTAGGGAAGTGACGGCCAGAACCACTTGGCCAGGTCCCGCTCCTCAAGACAGAGGGGTAAAAAGGATCGGGTTAGGGGCGCTACTTGATGAGTAAGCAGAGGGTGGGCCTCAGGGAAGGCACATGACAGCCTTGGCACTGGTCCCACAAGATCGTCCCTCCTGCATCCATTCTCCCTACGGGGGCAGCTGGAGGGGGCTTTTACAAACGAATCAAATCATGCCCCGCCCCTACGCCAAGCCCCGCCTCCCCACGGCTTCCCATAAAACCCAGCCCTGCCGTCTGCCTCAGGGGTCACAGCCCTGTCTTCCTCTCATCTGCGCTTTGCCTCATCATTGGCTTTCCCGCTGGTCCTCTAATGTCCCAAGACCACTCTGCACACCCCGCTCCCTCTGTGGGCGAGGCTCTGCCACCTGGCTAGCTCCCTCAGCCCCTCGGCGCTCTGCTCAAGTCACCTCCTCCCAGAAGCCCTCCCTGAACGCCCCTAGCTCAGCCATGCTCTAGCTCACTATCACTTTCTAACATGACCTTGCTAATTTTTCTGCTCGCATACTTATAGTTCATTTCCCACCTCTGGACTCTAAGCATCCTGAGGGCAGGAATTGCGGTCTAATGGTCTATGGCCAGGTATAGAATAGATGCCAAGAAAGTAAATGAATGCTGAGTGACTAAAGGAGGGATGTGGAGCGAGGTACTGTGCCTAGCTTTGAGCTTAACTTTATCCCCACGGTTTGGGAAACGTGTTAAAAACAAAACAAAACAAAACAAAATTCAAGTATCGCAACCAGTGAGTTCAGCTCTAATGATGATGATGATAATAATAATAATAACAACAGCAGCAAACACCTACAGTATGCCAGGCACTGCTCTAAGTGTCGTGCATGGAGTAACTAATGAAAACTATAATGATATATTAATTATATTAATAATAATTATAATAATCCTTATAACAACCTTATGAGGTGGGTCCTCTTGTTATCCCCATTTTACAGAAGGAAAAACTGAGGCTCAGAAGGTCGAGTGACTTGCCCAAGGTCACACAGCCCAGAAGGGACAAAGCCAGGATTTGCACCCTGGCAGTCTGGCCCCAGAATCCAGAACTCCTGGATCCCTGAAAACATCACGAGGACCCTCCGCCTGGAAGCGGGGCGCTCACTCCCACCCTCGGCGACCTCTGTCCTCCAAGCCGGCTCACCCCGGGCTGACCTCGAAGGCTGATAAACGACCCCTGACCCCTCGCCAACCCCGAGTGTGCTCAGGGCCCCGGCGGCGCCCCGCGTCTGCGCTGACCCTGCCTTGAGCTGAGTGAGCGCTTCCTCTACGCGCGGCTGGTTGTAGCGCACCATGTAGCTGTGCATGTCGGGGTAGTTGCTGCGGATGTTCTTCTCCGTGGACCCGTTGGGCACCGTCCCAAACTTCAGGGGCGGGTACTGCTCCTGGGGCCTCTGGAACTGGGGCAGAATGGGGAGTTACCAGGGCGCCCTCTTGGGGGCATCTAGGCGGAGGATGTCCTCGACCAGATAGATGCTCCATCTTGGGGGACACTCCCCAACCGGCAGACACCCCGGGGCGGAAGCGTTTCTCGAACTTGCTCATCATGACCCGCAATAGGAAACACCACTCCCCATCCACGGGTAGCTAGCTGTATGTTGCAGATACGGATACCCACATAATCAGGAGTAATGTTGAAATATGTAACGCCCAGTGTGGCCTGACCGTGGTCCAATCAGAAAAGACACCGGCTACAGAGCTCAAGAAAGGTCCCAGAGGCCCTTGATGTGCCAGGCATTAACCCTTAACCTGCTGGATCACGGGAGGAATTGGTGCAGGGGGCTGGTATAGGGGACAGGGCTGGGGGCAGTTATTTACCAATCTGTTCAAAATCATTCACTGTGTTAACAGACATAGCCAGACACGTGTCTTGCTGGTTCAGTCTCAGCTGTATATATGGCTAAGACAAATGTTTCATGAAACCAAACTCATCCGTATCATGTAAGAGGCAGTCAAACATACTTTCCATTCCATTCCATTCCATTTAAAAAATTGCTTGTGGTCACCCACTGAATTGATTTCTCAGTGAACCACTTGAGTCTCAAAGCCTGCTCCGCTGACCACCAGTCCCTGAACAAACTGTGACCTGCGGCGAGGCAAGGACAGACGCGGGAGGTGTCAGCATTTAGAGCGATCTGACGAAATAATTTTATGTCTGTTGGACCTCAGACGTTAAAACTTGGCTTTGACTCTTGCATGTCTTGATTTTAAATTCTACTTTTCCGGTAACTCATTTCTGCTGTAGTTTACAAAAGTATTGGCCGCCGTTGGATTAGAAATTTCACAAATTAGTCCTTCGTCGCAGTTTAAGACCGACAGTGATCTAGAGGGCCCTATTTGGCGCTACTGTACCTATAACATTTGAGGATACTCCCCGTGCCTGGGAACATTGAAATCGTTCACTGTGAACTCCGGAACATTCCATTCTACCATTTTGGAACTCTTTCTGGGATGAGACCCCCTCTCCCCCAAGATCCTTCTGCCCTCCCACGTGCCAAGCCCCAAGACCTCCAACCCCAGCCGACTCCCTCGTCCCCAAACGCACACACCTTTCGGTCACTGAGCCCGGACACGGTGTCCACGTACTCCTCCTGGATCATGAAGGCGGCCAGGTTGGCTGTGTAGCTGGCGAGGAAGATGACGGCGAAGAAGGCCCACACCAGCACCATGATTTTGCTGGTGGTCCCCCGGGGGTTCTCCACGGGCACTGAGTTATTGAACACCAGGGCCCAGAGCAGCCAGATGGATTTCCCAATGGTGAAGGTTGAGCCGCCAGGGCCTGCAGGGGGCCAGGAGGGGGGACATGGACCCCAAATCCCTTCTGCTCAATGAGGGAGTGGAAAGAACTACAATTCCCAGTGGGCCCCCCGAGGCCTCTGCCACCAGGCTCTACCCCGGGGCCTGCTGGGAAATGTAATTCTATCCGGTCCCGGGCGCTGCGAGGTAGGGTGATGGAGGAAGGGGACTCACGCTTTCCCGTGGCCAGGCTGCGGTTGTAGCCAACGGGACTGAGGTACTCGAAGATGAAAACGGTGACGGCGACCACGGTGAGACACATGACGAACATCATCACCCACACGGCGGGGCTGTAGGGCTCTGGGGAAAGGGCGCGTGTGGTCATGGCTCGGCCAAGCAAAGGATCGGGGGACCACAGGTAGGTGGACAAGGTGCAGCCCAGAGCTGGCCCTACCCGACTCGGCCCCCTCCCCTGGTTTCTCATCTTGGGGACAGCCTCGTTGTCCACCGGCTTCCTGGGAGCCAGACTCTCTCGAAGACAGCCCCCTCAACCATTTCTGTGGTTTCGATCACCTAAATATGTCCCCGGAGCTCCAGACCCCCTTCTCCACCTCCCCCCGGCCATCCCGCAGGCCATTTGTGTCCCACACTGAGCCCAGCACCAACTCCCTGGTTCCCCATTCCCAGAGCCCCAGCAGCCATCCAGTCACAGCCCGCTACCCGCATTTGCTGTCCTCATTTCCTCCCTTTCCCTCACCAGCCCTCACCTGTCAGTCCCCAGCCTCATCCTCCTGGATCTGTCCCCAGCTCAGGCCCCGTCCTCTCCTGGACCATCTCCCAGCAGCTACCCCTCCAGCCCATTCCCCCTCCCTATGGCCCCAGAGGCTCTTTCTGCACTCAGAGATGACTCTGCCTCTCCCCAACTCGCAGCTCTCAATGGAGCACCTGCGCCCCCCAGGACAAAGTCCCCACCCCCCAGCCTTGCTCCACCCTCCTCTCTGGCCCAATCACTCTTTCAAGAACCCTTTGCTTTTACCTCCCGGAACTCAGCTCCCTGAACGAGCCACGCCCTCTCTGCCCCGGCTCCACAGCAACCCTGTCAGAGGGGCCACCCTAACCTGTCCATCAGAGGAACTCAAGTTCATGTGTCCCCTCCTAACACTGCCTCTGGGAGTTCAGTGACAATAAGCTCAAGTCACCATTTCCTTGAGATTAGCACTGGCTTGTTTGACCTCCCCAGACCAAGTGCAAACGGCCAGGACTGGCTCTGTCACAGCAGGTGGCCCTGTCACAGCAGGGTGACCACCCTGGGCTGTCACTGCTGCATCTGGGGACACGCCTGTCGCCTCGGCTGGCAACGTGGTGGGGCAGACAGATGACCTTGTCACTCCCCTGCTGAAGGCAGGGGCCCCGCGTGGTGCATCTCAGGGGCTCTGCAGAGACCTTGATGCAAAAGAGGAGGCCGCAAAAGACGCGCTTGGGGAAACACACCGAAAACAAAACGCGAAGGCGGGGCGGCCCTTCTCCCAGCCCCTCCCCCTCCCGGGAGCCTTGCTCGGACTTCAGAGAGCAAGAGGGAACTGACCAGGGCTACACTTAGGACTTCTCCGAGCTCAGTAAATGACATCTCTACCCTGTTCCAATCCACCTCGAAGCTGCCGACCAATCCGGGCGTCCGCGCCCTAACCTCTGGCCTGTCCCCTAATCTTACCCGAACCGCCATCTTCCTGCCACCGCCTGCGGTTAAAACGCTGGCTGTTTCGGCAAGCGTAAAGCCCAAACCCGCCCTGTCCCCTCTCAGCCCTCACTTCCCAGCCGCTCACTCATGCCCCTCCTCCGACCTCGCGGGCTCCTTCACAAGTACTCCACCTTGGTGCCTTCGTCCTTGCTGTTCCCTCTGCCTAGGATGCTCTTCCAGCCAGGTCTACACAGGACTGGGTCGCCGCCTCGAAGGACCTGCCTGCCCACCCACAGCAGCATCAATCTGATTCCTTCTCTTCTCTTCCCCAGCCTGATTTCTCTGTCACCATCTTAAGTGCTCCTGTCCCTGTATCCCTTTAAGAGTCTATCTTCTGTCTCGCCCATGAAGCCAAGTGCTCTGAGAGGGCAGGGGCACGTGCGCAGCTCGGGGCCTGGCGCACAGTAGGTGCTCCATAAGCAGTCTGATGGGTGAATCGAGCACTTACCGTGTGCTAGTGCCATGCTAATCTCTTTTCCTCACCTCATACCTACTTACAGGGTTAATGGGTTTTGTGGGGCCCGAAGCTTACACAATTTGGAGGGTTCTCTTTAAGAAAAAAAAAAAAAAGAATACAACATTATGAATACAAAACGAGGTACAGGGCCTTGAGGAGGCTGTGCAAGGCTCCCGAAGCTCCTTAGCTTCACGGTCAAAATGCTTCCGGTAAGCGAAATTGCTTCTTCCATGTCACAGATTAGGAAACTGAGGCTCAGCAGTGAGGCCACTTTACCGGAGTCACAGCACTGGTACGAGCAGTACCGGATGGGACTGGGGCACACGGCTGCCCCAGCTGACCGTCCCAGGGCCCCAAGCTCACTCACCAAGGAAGGCCGAAGGGGACACGGTGCCGTTGCTGCGCGCCACCATGACGCTGATGCCCGTCTCCACGAAGGGGACAGAGAAGTCCACGATCTCGGACCGCTCCTCGTTGATGGTGAGCGAGCCGATGGCCATGTCCGCGCGCTGGTAGAACACCTGGTGAGGGAACCGGGCTGGCTCAGGCAGGTGGAGGCGGCAAGATCACCCCGGGAGGAGACCAGTGACAGGGTGAGAGAGAGGCTCACGAGGATGGCCGGGGAGGGCGGGTGAGGGGGACGCACATTGGGGCAGGAAAGATAGAGGTGAGAGTCTGCAGACAGGAGTGAGAACAGGTGGCCCTGGCCGCATCCTGCTCCTGCAGCAAGCCCTCGGAAAGATTTTGAGCTCCATCCTCCCGGCCCCGCCCGACCCTGGCCGCATCCTGCTCCTGTAGCAAGCCCCCACGAAAGATTTTGAGCTCCATCCTCCCGGCCCCGCCCCCGTCGAGGAGGTCCGCCCCTAGCCCCGCCCCCTCTTATCCCCGCCCCAACAGGGTGGGTCCTTCTTGGCCACGCCTCCACCAAGGTGGGGCCTGCCTGTGGCCACGCCCCTTCTAATCTGGGCAGTCCTTTCTTTCAGCACGCCCCTCCAGCCGGAGTTCTCCCACTCGTGGCCCAGCCCCCCACGTCCTGGCAGCACCCCCACCCTGTCCCCGCGAGCCTCACCTCCCCGATCATGCCATTCCAGACGCCGTCGATCTTTTTCCCGTGCTTGCCGTTGGTGACCAGGTAGAGGTCATAGCTGAAGCCGATGGTCTGAGCCAGCCGCTTCAGGATGTCGATGCAGAAGCCCTTGCAGCACCGCTTTTCTGGGCGCGGGGCGTCCGGTGGAGGGCTGCGGGGAGCGGGCAGGCTTGGGGACGTTAGGGGCCCTCCCCACCTCATGGAGGGAGGGACAAGCAGTGGCTAAAAACTAAGGTTAGTGCTTCCTGGGGAAACTGAGGCTCAAAGGAATTACGTGACTCATCCAAGGTCACTAAACTGGAGGGCTTTGTGGGTCCTGGGTCCCAAGGCGGGAAGGGCTGGGGCCAAGAATACTGAGCTTCAAGGCAGGATTTTGAAACCGGAATTCCTGGATCCCGGGCTGTCACCTGTGGGTACGGTTGAGCTGGCTCCGGCAGGGGACAGAGTCTCTGATGCAGGTGCCGCTGATGGGGTCAGCGGGCTCCACGATGACGAAGGGCCTCTCCTCCAGCGTGGCCACCGTGAGGTGCTGCGTGTCATCCACTGGCTGCAGGAAGCGGCCATAGCGGGACCACAGCGGGTACTTGAGGCGGAGCGTCTGCTGCTCCCAGCTGCCCACCTTGGCCGAGAAAAGGAGATTCACGCTTCCTGGAGGGGCTTCCAGGTGGTCCTGGCCTTCATGGTCCTCCTTCCTCGGAGTCCGGGCTCCCAGCTCCAGGAGTCTGCGCCCCATCTCCCTCCTCCCCCCAGATGTGGGCTCCCAGTTCTTTCCCACAGGACCTAGAAGTCTGGCTCCCAGCCCCTTCCTCCCTCAGAGGCCAGAGGCCAGCCCCCTCCCCCACCTGCCAGGACCCAGGCATGTGGGCCACCTCTATGCCCGAGGTCGGGGCTGGGACTCACCACCTCCCAAGTCCTGTCTCTGGTGAGGGAAATGACCACCAGCGAGGGGTTCACCAGGAAGCCATCCTCATTGAAGGAGTAATCCCGGTTGTCCCACGTAATGTTCATGAAGTACCTGCCAGGAGGAAGGGAGGGGACATATGGGGACCTGGATAAGACCTTGGCAGCCAAAAGCAGAGAAGGTCCCCTTCCTACTGACCAGCCCAGGCCCCAGCCGGAATCTCTCCTCGAAGACCTTGGAAACCCAAATACACCTCTTGTCTGCAAGGCGTTCTCCCCTCGCTGCCCAGCACCGCCACACGAGGTCCCAGAACCTCAGCCTGGGGCTGAGGCACTGGTTCTGGCCCCATCTGCCCCTGCGGCCCCGTCTCTGATCCCTTCCCACCCTCAAACCCTTTCCACTCCAAACCTATTTCGTGCCATACCAACAGTAGATGCAATGTGTCCCCAAATGTATCAAGCGGTCTCCTACTTCTAGGCCTATGTAAATGCTGTTTCCTCTGCCCGGAAAACATTTATTCTGTCCCTTCTCATCCTGACAAGTTCTTATGTCTTTAAGACTCAGCTCAAATGTCCCTTCCCCTAGGAAGAAGCCCCCGAGGGCTTCTGGAGCCCCAGATATCTTGACTATGCAATGGCACCCTGTACTCCGAAGACCTGTCACATCACCCCAGTCCCTGGGCCAGATCCCCAGCTGCCCCCTCACTCCCCCTGCCCAGGCCCTCCCTCCCCAAGCACCATCCTTCCTGCCCCTGGGATCTCCTCTCTGTCCCCGTAGCCCTCCTGGATGCCTGCCCCAGCCTCCTGCCTGGCCTCCAGCCTCCAATCTGTCTCCTTTGGTCTGTTTCCCACTCCACCCCCAGAGAGGTCTTTCTATGCCCCAAACTGACTCCACCTCCCCGCCTGCTCATAACCCAACCATGGCTCCCCAGTTTCCAGAACAACGCTCAAGCCTCTCAACCTGGTGTTCAAGGGCCTTGTGGCTTGGCCTCGTCTACTTCCCCAGCCTCACCACCCTCAACCTCTAATTCTCCTGCCTTCGTCCACCCCGAGCTACTGTGTCCCACCATCCTGCTCTCCGGGGGCCTTTGCACAATGCTGTTCTCCTGTCTGGAATACTCTATCTTTCCAGTGAACTCCCAATGGCCCTTAGAATCGAATCTGAACCCCTTAACATGGTCTACACACCCTACATGAGCTGGGTCCCCCAAGCGTTTCTCCATTTCCAAGTCATGCCCCCTCCCCTTGTCCATTAAGCTCCGGACACACTGACTTTCTTTCAGGCTCCCAAGCAGGGAATTCCAGCCCGAAGGCCTTTGCACCTGCTGTTCCCACACCCTTCTCTTCACTCAGACCTTCTAATAGTTGGCTCCTTCGCTTTATCTTTTTACCTCCAAATTTCACCTGCTCAGAGACCTTTCCTGACGACCTCACCTAACCTAGCACCCTAGGTATTTCTTATCACATTCCACATATTTTATTTTCCTCACAGAAGCTACTACGTGATATTTTCTTCTTCGCTTTCTTGTTTGTCCCCTATGAGATTGTAAACTCTGTGAGAGCAGCGACCCTGTTCAACACTATATACCTCTGTGCCGAAGGCGCTGCTTGGCACATAGCAGACTCTCGATAGAGGGCTTTTCAATGAATAAATGAACAATTCATCCTTGAGGTCTCAGCTTAAAAGCTCCTCCCCCCTGGGAACCTCCCTGACTCCATAGGCTGACCCGTGACTCATGTAGCCTAGTTTGGAAGGCCGATTGGGGCCAATGAAATTCCGCACTTGGGAGGATGTTGGCTGTGACATTTCGCGGGATAGGTGGTGGGCAGAATAAAAATTATGAATGTTAGGAGGAGCAGAATCCCGGGTAAGTGATAGCAATGGAGGAACTGGACAGCCTCTGGGAGTGGCAAGCTGGGGCGGGGAGAGTCTTGGCCTCAATTCCTGACATCTGGATTTCTGTGAGTGTTTATCTCTCCAATAAACCCCCTCGTCCCGGAGGAAACTTGAATGAGACTCTGCTTCCTGCAACCAAAAATGTCCTGGTGCTCCCATAACGCCCATTTAACTTCCATTATTGCAAGCATCACGCTGTGTTGTCATTATCCCATCCATGTCTGCCGCCCCTACAGGACCCTGTGTTCTTTGAAGAGAGGTCCATGGTCTCTTTCATCTGTGTTCCCAGCGCCCAGCATGAGCCCTGATTCTTAGCGGGCTCTCGGTAAGTATTTATGAACGAGGCATGTTTTTCTCACCCTCTCGTCCCTAGATCCTGATTCTCAATTCACCAATTCTCAATTCTCCTCCCCTAGGTTTTCTTCCCCACTCATCGCCTCTTCCCAAGCTCATCTCAGGATACAGGCGTCTCCTTCCATCGTTCTGTCACCCAACTCATCAATTTCCCCACTTACAAAGCTTCCTACAGTGGACATGCCGTTTTCTGCCAAACCCTGTTTTCCTCTTCAAAAATAATAGCGTGTAGGCTGGGCACGCAGCTGACCTGCTAGAGTCGACGCATCCTAATTTTTCTCGCAGCTGGCGCAGGCCGCGTGCAGGGGCGACATTCAAAACGTCTGACTAGCAGTGCCGCACAGGTACTGACCAATCAGAATCCACCGTCTAACCAATCTGCGTGGGTGTGGCCGTAAACAACCAATAAGCCAGCCCTGGCCACGTGACTACGTTCTCGCCAATGGGATGTCAGACTCGCCCCTTCTGCCTCGCTTGCGCAAAAAGACATCGCTTGCTCTCCAGTTCCTCCCTTTCCCGCATCCCATGAGCTGGAATTCAGGCTTGTGCACGACCCAGCTTTGTGCGGAAAGGACATGGCAGAGCAAAGAAGGTGGCCCGGGTCCCTGAATAGTCACGTGGAGCAACGGGGTCTCCTGATAACCTGGACCACGCATCTCCAGACTGTTAAGTGGGAGCGGAACAAACTTCTTCCTCGTTTGAGCCATTAGATCGTTGGGTCTTTTGTTACTGAAGTTCAGCTCATACTCTAACTGGCGTATCTCACTGAATCTAAGCTGCTATCCATTAGAAGATGTATCACTATTTTTATGTACCATAAAGGGAAAAGCATTGCCAATTAAACCATGAAAAGCCACCAGTTGTAAGACACGCCTTGATTTCAAAGCCATTAAACTGTGGGGGAAAAAAAAAGTGCATCTTAAAGTCATGAAATATAGTAACACACTCACTGTGTCTTGGACGCTTTTTCCAAATTATCTGATGTAACCCCAGAGAGGAGAGCCAGTTACACCCATTTTACAGGAAAGGGAACCCAAGCTGAGAGGGAGCGTGACCCATCTGAGGCCACTCAGGCAGTGAGTACCCCAGGCTCTGGAGTCTTGCCACAGCCCTCCCCCCGCCCCAGCCCCTCTCACCTGTGGAGACTCTCCCCTCGATGGGTGCGGTTCTGGGCACGACAGTCATGGCCAAGCTCAGGCAGGAAGCCGTAGTCACGCAGCAGGGCCTGGGCACCTCGAGCCACCACAGCCACACCAGCTGCCACACGCCGGCCCAGGTCATCCCGCCAGCCAGCCGAGCGCACTGCAAACAGCCCAGCTGGCAGTGGGGCGCCTCCTGGCAGAAGAAGGGGCTCCCCAGGGGCGCCTGAGCCGCCGCCTCCAGCCAGCTGGGGCCCCACCATGAACCAGACGTAGCCGGGCCCAGTGAGGCCGGCCTCTTGGGCTGCCCGGAACACCGGCTCGGCCTCCTCGCGGGCACAGAAGAGCAGGCGGATCTGCGCGCTGACGCTGCGGAGCTGGGCGCTCAGCACGGCCTCGCCCGCCCCAGGGTCTAGTGTCAGCGCCCCGCGGTGCTCCCAGCCCACCAGACTGCCATCGGTCAGCACCTCGATGTAGGACAGGAAGGCCCGGTGGCCAGGGGCACGTGTGGTCACAGCTACAAAAGATGTCCAGTCGTACTCCTCCAGCACCTCGAAGATGACCTGAAGCTGCTGCTCTGTGGACGAGCCTAGCTGTAGGAAGGTGGAGCCCTTCTCCTGTGGGCAAGGAGGAGGAGGTCAGGCCGCCTGATGTGGAGATCACAGCTCCCAGGAGTCAGTAAGGGACCCTCGGCGACCCATGAGGGGATCACAGCTCCCAGTGGTCAAGAGGGGAACCTCATCTCCCAGAAGCTGATAAAGGGACCACAGCTCCCAGCCACCACTGCTGGCTGGCTCACAGCTCTCCATAGGGCGGGCTGACTAGCTGTTCACCAAACCCATCTCCTTTTCCTGCTGGGGCAGAGAACTAGACCTGGGTTTCGTTTAGTCACGTGACTGAGTTCTAGGCTCATCCGTAAAAACTCTCCCCTAGGCACCTTACTTTCTTCCCTGTCTGAGGGCAGCTGTTGAGGACCCAGAAGAGAACTCTGAAGTCCTCGGCGATTACAGAGCCATGAGAGGGAGAGACTGAGTCCCTAAGTCACCACTTGGAGGCGTGCCACCTCAAATCAGGAACATCCGTTTGGATTTTGTATGAGTGGGAAACGATTTTCTATTGGGGTGAGCTGCTGAGAATGGGGGTTTATCTGTTAAAGCAGTAGCATTACCGTAATGGATACATCCAGCACCCATTGAGGAAACTATAGTTCCCAGTACCTACTGAGAGGGACTACATTTCCCAGCATGCAAGGAGGGTCCTGAAAGTATTGTCTCTCCCAACTGGAAGAAGCTTTGCTGAATGGACTTGCCCTTCTCTGGTGTTCCTTCTACTTTCCTGTCCCCTCCTTCTCTGCTTCCTCGGCTCGACTCTCTTCCTCGGTCAGAATTTTAAACGAAGGAGTGCCCTAGCCGTCTCTTCCCTTTTCTTCTCTGTCCTCTCTCCCCAGTGACCTCACCCAGATCCATGGGTTTAAAAACTGTCTCCTGCGCTATCCAATATGGTACCAACTAGCCACCTATGGCTATTCAAATTTTAATTAACCAAAATTAAATAGAATTTAGTTCCCATTGCACTAACCACATATCAAGTGCCCAACGTCCACATATGGCTAGTGGCTATCGTGTCGAACAATCTTCATCGTGGAAGGTTCTGTGGATAGTGCTGGAGCAGTTGATGGCTCCTGCCCTCGGCTATCACCTCTCTCGCGAGCTCTGGACAAACCCTTCGACTCAACAGCTCCCCTCGGACTTCCAAGGGGCATCTCAAAATCAGTATGTCAAAAACAGAATTCTCGATCTTTCCCTCGCCTCAGACCCGTTCCCCGTCTCCTTTCCCTTATTTCCCCAGGTGCTCAGGTCTGACAGCTAAATCGCCCTTTCCCTCACGCCCACATGCAGGCCATTTCTAAGTCTTCTTGGCTCTCTGTTCAAAACATGACCCCAGTTGTCCACTCCTTGCTGCTACCCCTGTCACAACCCCCCACTGTCCCCACTTTCTTGCCTAGACAAACCCATCTCTGCTTCCATTCTTGGATCTTCCAGTCCATTCTCCAGACAGCAGCCAGAGTGATCTTTTCAAAACATTAATTGGCTCGTATCCCTTTTTGGTTGAAAACCTTCCAATGGTTCTATCTTAGAGTCAAAGCCAAATCGTCACTGTGGCCCACAAGGCCCTACAGAAACTGGCCCCTGTTGCCTCTCTGACCACATCCCCTGACACTGCCACCTCTTTGCTCTTTCTCAAACACATCAAGTTCCTCCTGGCTTCAGGGTCTTTCCAATGTGGTAGCCACTGGCCACCTATGGCTATTCAAATGAGCTGTTACCTCTCCCAGAGACACTTTCTCCCTGCTCCCCCATGCTGGACCCGCCCTTCCAAATTCCTCAGGTCCAGCTCAACTGTCACCACCTCACGGAGGCCTCCCCTGACCGCCACCTACTGAGGCTCCATGTTGGTCGTTACGACAGACGTCACTTTTCTCCAGGACAGATTTCATTATGTTATTTGTTTTGTCTGTCTCCCCATTAAAATGCAAGCTCTAAGAGCAAGGACCTTGCATATAAATAGATATTTCCTCTTACAACTGTATTCTCCAGAACCTAAAACACTCCTGGCACAGAATCAGCCCTCAATAACTCTTCCAGTAACACGATGTAAAGAGCAAGCAGACTTACTCCCTAGGCATGTGCCTGTGGTTATATGTGCAGGGGGACAGGGCAATTGTCCTGAGGGCATGCAATGAAAACGCTGAGAGGAACTCCCCCTTGGCAGGTAGAGGTGCGCTGAGGGGGACAACGTTCTCAGCATTCAATGGGGGCACAGATGGAGCTGTGAGGGCCACTCTCTCATCAGAAGACTTTGAAGGGACTACATATCCCAGAAGAGAACTGGCGTACAGAGTGGGGCACAGTGCCCAGCGGACAATAAACAGAGGTGCCCACACTTCTCGGCAGCAACGGAGGCACGAGGGACCACATCTCTTGGTGTGCCGTGGAGGTGGCAGCCCAGAAATGAAAGGTTCACCTCAAAAGTGATCTGCCTACAAATCCCTGGACAACCCCATGCAAGTTGAGCAGAGGCCTTTCCCAGAATGCTCTGGACAGGAGAGAACTACGAGTCCCAGCATGCAATAGCGATTTAGTTACATAGCCACCGGCCCTCACAGGATGGAGAGATTTAGGCCCCACCCACTGAGGTGACCCTATCCTTCAGCGCGTCCTACCTTTGTCACACTGGCTCCAACCTCGAGTAGGCCCCGCCCCTTCCCTGCACCGCCTCTTAGCTGACCCCTTTTACTTCTCAGCCTACACCATAGCCTTGTTCCAATTCTGTCCATTGTTACGAGAAGTCCATTCCAGTAGGCCACTCCTGTGCCCTCCCGAGGCAGGCCTCTCTCCTCCAGCCTCTGCCCCCACCTCCCCTGCAGTCTCCTGGTTTTGACCTCTCATTGGCTGGGCCTTCACCCTTCCAGGCCTACCTTCTGGATTCTCGCTTTCCACACCTTACAGCTGGGTAGGGTCCTGTCCAAATCTCACTCTCAGACCGGCTTCCTCTCTAGACCCCGCCCCTTTAGTACAGAGCTCAGGCTCTGCCTCCTCCTTGGCCTCGCCCCTCACCGGTAGCCACGCCCCTCCCCGGCAGGCCACGCCCTAAAACCCTCCTGCTTGCTGGTCGGTTCTACCCTCTCGCAGCCCACCTGTCACTAATGACTCCTCCCCTTCCCAAACTCCTTTCACCCATGGATCTGCCCTCTGCGTAGTTCTCTAGACCCCACGCTTAGCTGTCGGAGCCTCCCTGTCCCTCAGTCCCTGATACCCCTCTTTCCTAGTCCCTGTCCCCGCCCGCCTGGCTCCCTCATCCTCATTAGGCTCCACTCCTTTCTGAACCCCATTCCTTTCCAACTGACTTCTCCCCATCTGATCCCAGATCCCACCCCTCCCTGAGATCTTGCCATCTTAGGCCGATCCCTTTGCGTTCCCGATCCCGCCCCCGGCTGGCCGGTACCGCCTCTTCCTCAGATCTCAACTCCCCGACTCACCTCTTGAGCAGACCCTTAACCCGCCCCATACCGCGAACATCCATGACTGGCTTCTTCCAGACCCTACTTCGAGGCGAGTCCTCAGGCAGGTCCCCCTCATTCTACAGACCACGCCCCTCGAAGTCAGCCCCGCCCCTCACTTGGACCTGGTCCCG